TCTGAAACAATACAGACTAATGAATTCAGGACAGTGGTGGAGCACCAGAGTCCGGTCCCAGCTGCGATCGCTGCAACCCCGGTAGTTCTCATGAAAATGCCAAGTATCTGCACTGGTACTCGAAAAGTATCTGTGCATCCCTAATGAATTCAGAGATGATTTGAGGATCTACAGCCGAGTGATACACAAATAAGATACATTGTTTAATAGTTAAGATACTTGAATGCATTTTTAAGATTTAACTCCTGAGTTTAGTGTCACTTTAAGTTTTTTGGATAGAGTAGGGAAGGTTTAAAGCCAAACTCCAGTACGATCATAATGCTTTCATTATATACTTTGCAGCAGCCCTCCACACATAACATGCAGCTTTTTAATAATTTACACACCCGGTACGATGAGTAAATTATCATTCTTGTCTTGGAGTTTGGCTTTAAAACCCCTGCCAGCTTATTTTTTGCTTTATGTGTACCATTGAGGAAGTTTCCATTTACTTCCTGTCCCAGAGACACAGCAGGAAGTTAGGCCCCTTTCACACCTGAGCTTTTTACAGCTTAAATACCTAAGCGCTACATCATCAGCGGGCGAAATCCCATTGTTTTTAACGGTCCCTGTTCCCATCTGAGCTTTCTGTTGCTTAAAGTAAAAAGGCCTGTAGCTTTGAAAAGTACATGGGCTTCTATTGGAGCTGAAGCAAGCTTTTTGGCCCCAATGGGCTTCAATAGGAGCGCCAAAATGATGCATATTGTGCATTTTTCAGGCTTTAGATTGGCTAAAAACAAAACAACATACTCAAGCTTGAAATTCTTGCAGTAGCACCAGTACAAATGCTCAAAATAAATGCCCCAAAACACCCTAAGATGTTCAGCTCAAGTGTGAATGGAGCCTGAGAGGAAATGTCCCAAAGTGAAGATAATTCCCCCCCCCCCTAGGACAGTTGTTCCTGGAACAAATGTCCCCAGTAGAAGATTTGCCCTTACCGCTTGTTCTGGGGACAAACATTTTGCTTTTCCCCTCATATTTTCATTGTCAGGCGACAGTGGTCATCAGTACAGAACTAAAAAAAAAAAAAAAGCTTTTGCCTAGACATAGACTTTCACAGTTCCCTACTCTATCCTAAAATGAACATTTTCGGCTATACATACCCTTTAACACTTCTTATTTGTCAGAAAACACTTCCTGTAGTATCAAATGGATGTAAGTGGACACACACCTGTTTACGTGCTTCACCGCATGGCTGCTGGTATACGCGTGCCTGGCACAGTGCTGATGCACTTGACTGCGATGCATCACACTTTTATGTTTTTTTGTTGTTTTTTTTTGGTTAGAACTTTATTGAAGTGTCACAAGGGACATTGCATTAAAGCAGATCTCCAGGATGTTCAAAAGTTAACACTTGCAGTGGGGTTACCCCTGTACAGCAAGGGTTAACTGCTTGTTTTGGTCTAGGGAACGGAATAAAGAATAAATAAAGAAGATACTCACTCCTGTGACCATTCGCCTCTCCACGGCTCTGGCTGTGATATGTCCCTTCCTTGGTGTCCTCATGTCTAATGTAAGTGAATGGACCTTGCATAGACGCAAGGATGTCAGTGAGGTTTAGACCACCGGTGGCTGCGGGATAAAGTATATTTTCTTTATTTCTTTAGTTCCTCTTTAAGTGCTACTGCGCAGCGCAATGCAGTTGTACTGCATTGCGCTGCGCTGCCCTTAAAAGAGAACTATGGGGTAAGTGTTTTTCCCCATAGTTCTCTTAAGGGTCACGGGAGGCCATATACTAACCTCCTCCTGTGACCCAAAGCTCAGTATATTGCTAGCTACAGCTCGCGGTATACTTAGACCGCCGCAGCCGGGGCGGATCACGACAATGCTGTCGAGATCCACCCAGCTGAGGTGAGTGGCTGCCGGCTCTGCCCATCTAGAGGCAAAGCCAGCTGTACCCTCCCCCGTCCGTTCCTCCAGTCAGCGCTGGGGGATCGGAGCGGGGAGGGCGGGAATCCCTGTGGGGAGCGGTGACTGACTGTCACTGCAGGGAGATGATCGAGGAAGGGAGCGAGCGACGGTATGTGTTCGCTCACTTCCCAATCTATTGAGCCGACGTGTGACAGTTTCATTGTCACGTCGGCTCGAACTCTGAGGGTGGGTGATTTTCACTCGCCTCATAGTTCTCCTTTTAACCTTCTTGGCGGTATTCCCGAGTGTGGCTCGGGGTTAATTTTCTGCACCATAAGCGGTAACCCCGAGCCACACTCGGGAATACACAGCGTGTCTCTTACCTTGTCCCTCGAGCTGTGCTGTGTCCTCTGGCAGATGCCGGCATCCGTCTTCCGTCCCTTGTGAGCGTCCGCGTCGCAGGGGGGCGGAAACGGCGAGCGATTTCAAAAGTAAAAAAAACCCATGAAAACAAATAGAATGAAAAAAGGAAAATAAAAGAAGAAAAAAAATCATACCGCCAGGGAGGTTAAAGTATTGCAAGCCATACTTCATTTCAGCGCACACCACTGTAACGCAGTGGTGTGAACTAAGCCCATCTAAAACATGGCGATTGCCCTGTCTTGTATTGCGGTTGCTCCGGAGAAAATCCCCTGCGCAGCCCTACCGCATCTGGTGTGAATGGGCCCTACATCCAACTGACCATAGAGTTACATTGGAGTTACTTTCGATCAGATACTATCCTAAGCCGAGATTATTATTATTATCGAGATGATGGTGGTGCTCGCAGTGATCTCTAGAGCTGCAGCTAACGATTATTTTCAAAATCGATTAGTTAGCCGATTTATTAAGTTCGATTAATCGGATAAAAAAAAGTTTGTATTGAGATTGCAGTCCATCACAGGAGCAAGCTTGGAGCGGTGGAAGTAAAAAAGAAAAAAAAAAAGTGTGGTGTGCAATATAATGAAATGGAAAGTGTAAAATTATATAGCAATAAATGCAGAATGGCACCGGCTATAGAGCACAACAAATCCAGTCAATAGTACATTATAGCTGGCGGTATTCTGCATTGCGCTGTGTAATGTGCTGTTGCTGGGTTTTGTAGTCCTCTATAGCTGGTGGTATTCGGTATTGCACCACTGTATAATGCACTATTTCTGGGATTTGTTGTAGTCCTCTGTAGCTGGTGGAATTCGCATGGCGCTGTATAATGTATTATTGCTGGCATTTGTAGTCCTCTATACAGCGCAGTGCAGAATATCACCAACTATAGACAGGGGGGCGGAAACGGCGAGCGATTTCAAAAGTAAAAAAAACCCATGAAAACAAATAGAATGAAAAAAGGAAAATAAAAGAAGAAAAAAAATCATACCGCCAGGGAGGTTAAAGTATTGCAAGCCATACTTCATTTCAGCGCACACCACTGTAACGCAGTGGTGTGAACTAAGCCCATCTAAAACATGGCGATTGCCCTGTCTTGTATTGCGGTTGCTCCGGAGAAAATCCCCTGCGCAGCCCTACCGCATCTGGTGTGAATGGGCCCTACATCCAACTGACCATAGAGTTACATTGGAGTTACTTTCGATCAGATACTATCCTAAGCCGAGATTATTATTATTATCGAGATGATGGTGGTGCTCGCAGTGATCTCTAGAGCTGCAGCTAACGATTATTTTCAAAATCGATTAGTTAGCCGATTTATTAAGTTCGATTAATCGGATAAAAAAAAGTTTGTATTGAGATTGCAGTCCATCACAGGAGCAAGCTTGGAGCGGTGGAAGTAAAAAAGAAAAAAAAAAAGTGTGGTGTGCAATATAATGAAATGGAAAGTGTAAAATTATATAGCAATAAATGCAGAATGGCACCGGCTATAGAGCACAACAAATCCAGTCAATAGTACATTATAGCTGGCGGTATTCTGCATTGCGCTGTGTAATGTGCTGTTGCTGGGTTTTGTAGTCCTCTATAGCTGGTGGTATTCGGTATTGCACCACTGTATAATGCACTATTTCTGGGATTTGTTGTAGTCCTCTGTAGCTGGTGGAATTCGCATGGCGCTGTATAATGTATTATTGCTGGCATTTGTAGTCCTCTATACAGCGCAGTGCAGAATATCACCAACTATAGAGGAGTACAACAAATCCCAGCAATAAATTATACATACAGTGTATAATGTATTGCTGGGATTTGTATTCCTATGTATAATATACAGCACAATGTACCATCAGCTATAGAGGAATACAAATGCCAGCAATACATTATAGAGTACCATGTGTGGGGAAAGTGCAGGCTTACCTGAGCAGTCTTCCAGCAACTTGCTTCTGAGATCGGGCCTGTCTATCGACGGCTGTCATCCCCCCACACCTGCTCCTCCTTACTACATCTTCCACGCGTCCCTGTGCCGATCGTGGATGTGGGCGGGTGGTGAGTGTGAGGCGGGAAGGAGGTGCGGCGTGGATGCGGGCGGGTCTGGCAGCGTTGAGCGTGAGTTGGGGAGGAGGTGCGGCGCGCAGCGTGTGTGGAGCCGTGAACAGGGCCAACTGATTGGAAGCCGATTCATCGATTATTGAAAAAGTTGACAACTTTTTCAATAATCGATTATGTCGATTAGTTGTTGCAGCCCTAGTGATCTCGCTGATGGCATCAGGCAGAACTCCAAAAGTTACAGTGAATCACACAGGATACAACTTCAATTTTTCTTTCTTGTGTTTATTAAAACATCACATCATGTCATACATGCTAACGTTTCAGGACGACGCAGTGACCCTTCATCAGAGTGACATAGTGTGTGTGCTGGTGATTTGCTGTAACTTCCGATCAGATTCACCTGAAAAACAGACGGGAAGATCTGATCAGACCACCCGTGTGAAAGAGACTGAAGTAGTTTTGCTTGCCATCTGAGTTTAACTGCTGAATGGATAAATGTTAGAGATCAAGGCCCCCGACTGCTGTCTTTTCTAAATGCCAAGGGAATCTGAAGATAAACATTCCAGCTGATAGTGCTGGTGTCTAGATATTTGTCAGGAGTTTAAACATTTCAAATGTTCTCATACACATTTGTTTTCTTGCAGCCGAGTTTTGTTGCCAGTATCGGTGGAAGAGGTAAGAGCTTGCCTTTTTATTGTAATAATTGTTTTTGCAACTTGGCTGGTTTGTGAAATGATACAATGTGGCTCAAGGCGAAGCTTGTGATGTCACAATTGTGTGCTGACTCTGTTCTTAACCTGTTTGACTGTAGTCACACCCAACAATTCGTTTTTTTTTTTTTTTTAATCTTTTTTTTTTTTTTTTTTTTTTTTTTTTTTATCCTTCACTGTGTTACAGTAAATGAAAGGGCCGTATCTGTCACCGGCCCTGTCACCGGCCCGCACACTTCATCCTGGGAAGCGCATTAGGTTCCATAACAGACGTCCAGCTAAGCGAAGCATGAAGTGTACAGTGTAATTGTTAGAGCATAATGTAAATCATTGATTAGCTGCAGATTGCCATGGATACTGTTGTTAAACCAGTCACACCAGCCAATTGTTAAACCAGCTCATCAGGACAACCCTTCAAGTACCTGCAAGTCCTTTGACAGGCTTGACATCAATCTACTTTTATATAAAAACTATTTCTGTACAGGGTTTTTTTTTTTTATATGGTTATTTTTCAGTTTGAGATTCCTGTGGTACTTTTCATGGTTGCTTTTCAGCTCCATGGAGTGTACTGTGTTGGTATTTTAGATAAAAAGGGCCATAACCTTTTTGTAATATTAAACATTGTATATCTTCCATTATGATGAGAGATGTAAAAGAAACAATTGGCATCAATTTTGTATTTTTTCCCCGCTCCGTCATCTCTGTAGACTTTTTTACTGACAATTCTATTCATAGTAATAATAATAGACATACAGCAGTCTCAGATCATTAGGTCTTAGCGCTGGCATCATGGCACCAGTAGTCTATGGCATGACTGCTCCTGGCACAGGGTGAGATAAGTATTCTGATACAGGGAGTCATTCAGTGGTTAGGGTAGCTTAGTGTCAGGGTCATGGTTGTAAGGCAGTTAGTTTGAAGCTAAACTGTAGGCAGATATAAAAGACACATTAATGCAGCACTGTAATCAATAATACACCATTTATATTTTTTTTTTATGCATGCAGTGTAAGTACCTGAATTTGACCTGGTATCAGCCTCTTGCAGTCCCTGTCTAGCAGTGGTGAGGTGTGAGAGGAAGTAGCAGTAGCTAATCGGTTCAAGTGCTGACAAGGAGGAAAAAGCAGAGTGACAGAGAGATGAACTATGCTGTGCTGCTTCTCCTTTCAATGTCAGGTCCTGGATGACCTGGGCTCATAGCAAGTGGGCTGAATGATGCTTGCCATCAGATTGAGGACATCTAGCTGCAGAAAGAAAGTACTGTGTGGTATATCTCTGGATTAACAACATGAGAACTAGCCTGTATAAACCCCATCATTACTAGGCCATTTTTCAGTTTTCAGTGCTGTGATAGTTTGAATGACAATTGCTTCGTAATGCAACACTGCACCCAAATAATTTTCATTCTTTTGAGACAGGCAGAGCTATCTTTTTGTGACTTTTAATAATCACTGTTTTTTAAAAACTTTTTAACTATATAAGTGTCAACCTCCAAGTTGTTTTTTACATTACGGCAGTAGGGAGGGGGTTAAACTTGGATTTTGCAACAAGTTGGTTTTGTTGTTTATCTTTTTAATGAGTTATTCATTTTTATTCTCCTATTTTTTACTGCGGTTATGCTTTAGATCAGGGGTGCTCAAACTGTGGCCCCTTTAGCTGGCTCCTTTAGTTGTGCTCAAACTGTGGCCCCTTTAGCTGTGCTCAAACTGTGGCCCCTTTTAGCTGTGCTCAAACTGCAAGTCCGATCATGCAACTGCCTCTGGAAGTTTTTATGCTCTCCGTATATATTTTTCTCGCTTTTGAAGCCTGCAGTGTATCCATTTAAAACATTCCCGTGAACAGAAAAAGTGAAGTGTGGTCCTTCTCCAAAGAGGCAAGGACTTAATTTTCTGGGATGCAAGAATCCTGACAGGGTACCCTGGTTCACCTAGGCCAAAACCAAAGGGACCCTGATCCTTGGGGACCAGCTGAAGCAGGTCCACCAAGTACTTGATAAGGGTTGTATCGAAGAGAGACCGCCAGTAGGGAAAAGCAAAAGATCCGATGCCCACAGAACCTCTCCTCAGATCAGGACAGGTCCCAAAGGTACACACCCTCCGTCATCTGAGGGGTAATAAATGCTCTTAATAATTGCTCATGCATAAGTGCTATAATGTAAGCTGGGTTCACACCTAGGCGTATTACGTATGCACGTCTGTCGCGCGACCGTCACACTGTTTTTTTTTTAACCGAGATTCGAGGTAAAAAAAATCACGCGACCGTCGTGCGATTCCGAAGGCTACTTAGCTGTATCCCAATGGAAAACGCCCTCCAAAACGGCCCAAAGACATGTACTTGTTTGGGCGTCAGCCGTTTTGTAGGGCGTTCAGACGGGCTGAAATACGGAAAGGTGTGAACCATACCCATAGAAAACAATGGGATTTTCATGGTTGTACGTTTTGTAGAGCGTTCATAGAGCGTTGAACGCCCGACAAAACGGAAAGGTGTGAACGGGGCCTAAATGCGTGCATGTGCTAGGAATGGCATGCCTTGCTCTTTCTGTATTTATGCTGTTTGTATGCACTTTAAATGTAGGAAATGCAAGAAATCACGCATCGTTTCTGCATCTGCCACTAATGAAAAGCTAAGAGGTTTCTAGCAACACTTGTGAGACATTGGTTTCTGAATTGTGATAAAATACTAGGTGATACAAAATAAACCTTAGTCAAACATGACCAGAATTATGTATTGGTGTATTATCTTTGCTCATCTATTCTGTGTTCAGCCTGCACATGTACATGCATTTTCTCCAAGTAGTAAAATTCCTAATACTAGTTAAACGGGTACTATGCCATTTTTGCACCTTCATACCTGGTAATCATCTAAATATCTTTAGAAAGCTGACTACTGAGCTCTTATCATAGAGTCATTCAGACTGATATTTTCGATCTGCATAGATATGAGCAGGTTACATTACTCACCAACTTTTTCATATCTGTACGGTATTTACAAGTGAACACATGCGCTTTTAGCTTCATCCACATGCATGGGCCATTTTGAGGGGTTCTTGCTTTTCTTTTTTATATTTTCACATAGTTGTTTGGGTATGGGGATGTTCAGCAAGTGGAGGAAGGGTCTGTGTTACGGGTGGGTATAGCTGGGAATTGGGATGTAGTGCTGTTTACTCCCCATGAAATGTCAACCGCCACTGGGGAATTCAGACCATCCCTGAAATATCAGCTCTTTCCAACCTTCCCCTTGAGCTCTTTCCAACCTTCCCCCTTGAGCTCTTTCCAACCTTCCCCCTTGAGCTCTTTTCAACCTTCCCCCTTGAGCTCTTTTCAACCTTCCCCCTTGAGCTCTTTTCAACCTTCCCCCTTGAGCTCTTTTCAACCTTCCCCCTTGAGCTCTTTTCAATTTGCCTCAATCTTCTTTTCTGTTTCCCTTGACTTGTATGGAGAGAGGAGCAGCTCTCACACAAACCAAAGCCCATTTAGACAGGCCCTTGGGTGGATTGGCACTAATGTGGATTTTTTTTTTTTAGTTTTGTATAGGGAGTAAGGGAGGGTCATAACCCCTTATCTTTTGCCATCTGTGTCCCATTTAGGAGATTTTTCCCTAATTTGCTGTCCAATAGCCACAACAAGAAGTGAGGGGGAAATCCCTACAACGTGAGAAAAATCCCTGGTGGTCAGCAGTGTCACCAGAACTAGTGTCCCTACTGGAAGATTTCTAATTTATCCCTATTCAGGTGAGAACCCAAAATTTGTGGTTTTCATTTATTTCAGTAATAATAGTCACCAGGATAAATAGAGAGGATGAATCTCCCTAACGGGGACACAGGCAGTAATAAAGACTCGACAAATTCTCTGATCTCTCTACTCCATCCAAAACTAAACAAAATGTTTTGGCTTCCGTTGCATTTTAAGCCTCAAGATGCCCTGTTCTTAATTTAAACTGATGCAGCTGAATTTCCTCTTCCCTTCCACTGCCTTTTCCTGTGTGCACATGTTTGTAGACTAATAAACAGAATATGGAAACCTCTGTTTATTTTACAGAGAGGTGTTTATTATCGCACATCTAATTTGTTCCCTACACCGGCCCTGTAAAAATGTACTGGAATTCTTCCTCAAACGTCATTTACTAGTTAGCCATAAATAGACTCCGGAACTCCTCAAAGCACATACCCGGTGACTAATACCAAGCTACAAAGTCCAAATGTACAACATGGCTATTCATGGTGAGTGTTCTGTAATTCCCTCACTCCGCCTTGCAGCTGAAGCTGATTAATACTGAGGAATTAAGCTGCAAACCTATAACTGTAGGAAGACATTTATATACTGTATAATGGACTACTGTTTGCTGAATGTCTAAACATGTCATATGTGCTAACCTGGAGAATGTCGGGTATATCTAAACAAAATAATTGTTTCCTTGCGGTTAACAGTTACTAGACGTTCTATGCCAGAACAGTATTGTACCGGAATGAAAACACAATTTCAGGTTATTTAAACGTTTATTCCATATACGTTTAGCATCTGTTATTTATTGTAGTTAGATCTGCATAATGTAGTGCACGGGTACCATAGCCATTACTGGAGAATCCCACTCTAACGGCTTTGCTTTTTAGGGAGATTTATTTTATATCATGTAATGTAAGCGGCATGTAGCCAATTTGTTACATGTTCGTAAAATTGTAAGTTGCTTGCAATGATCAAATATAAAAAAAAAATATGTCCTACCTTCCTCCAAGCAAATACCAGCATGGCATATGGACATATTAAACCTCAAAAGTGGAGAGTCACAAGTGTGTGGATCCTTTCTACTTTTGTTTTTGACATAAACACAACCCTCTTTATTCACAAGTTTAATATCAAAATTGGGGGGCTTCTTTTAGTTCACCTGATTTGGTGAAGAAGCTATACCATTCCTCAGCTGGGGGCTTCTTTTAGTTCGGCTGATTTGGTGAAGAAGCTATACCATCCTCAG